AAATATATCTCAGAATATACAGCACACGAAAGTGGCGGCAGTTGCGGTCATTGCTCAAACTACCATGTTTAAAAACATACAAAAATAGGCTGTTTTGGCATCCCGCCAATATTTTGCCGAGAGTTAGTAAGGATAGGATCCTTTCATTTGCGATGAGTTTCATCGAAAGTCCTCGTGGCATCTGTATATCGGATGCCACGAGGACGTGGATGCCACGGCAGACGCAATTTTAACATGGAGGGATGCCACCAAGGCCTATAAATAAATATATATATATATATATATATATCTTGGCTTAATAAATTACCTACAACAGTTGAGCAAGTTATTCGAGGTTTTAAAGATAAATTGACTGAGGAAGAACTAATTAATATGGCTAATGGCATGATCAAAGCCTCAGTCAATGTTGTTTGTCCTGAGCAGGAAAGAAAAGATGTCATTGTTGTTAAAACACCATCAGCTATAGAAAGTAAACTAGATCAGTTAATTAAATGAATCTTTAAATTCAATAAGCATATCAAAATCGAGGAGTAGAAAATGGTCACCTTGACCTTCCAGTTCCAAACGTTTTCAAGAATCAAGTGATATTTGTTATTACCATAAAATATTTAAAGAACGAGCTACAAAATGTACAAAACCCTGTAAATATGAAGATAATTTGGAAAACTATTAAGCCGCTCGTTAATAGCGACTAACGAATCTGGAAAAAGAAATTGTCGGCTTTTTATTAAAGACATTACTATCAAAATTTAATTTTTAATTGATACTGGTGGATGTTTCAATACTACCAAAAATATTAAATAAAAATCTAATGCCAACTTCTAAACTACTATACGCCGCAAATGGATCGAAAATTACCACGTATGGAGAAAAGTTTTTAACTGTTAGTTTGGGATTAAGACACAATTTTGCATGGCAATTTATTATTGTTGACATAGATCAAGCAATCATAGGGGCCGATTTTTTGATGCATTATGGAATATCTATTGATTTACAAAACAAAAAATTAAGAGATACAGAAACCGATATCGAAGTCATAGGAAAACTACACATTTCAAATACTCCTATAATTGAAACCATCAGTAAGTCTTTTTTATATTATGAGTTATTAGCACAGTTTCCAGATTTCACCTGTACATCCTTAAAAGTTCAAAGAAACTTATCAAAAGTAACTCATCAAATCATCCAAAAGGACATCCTGTTTACTCCAAAGGACGAAGGCTAAACCCTGAACAACTAAAAGCAACAAAAGAAGAGTTTGAATTCTTACTAGAAAATGGGATCATACGGTCGTCTAAAATTCCATGGACTAGTCCATTACACATGGTCCGTAAGTCAAATGGGAGCTGGAGACCTTGTGGCGACTACAGATTATTGAAGGCCAAAACTGTTCCGGATCGATACCCATTACCTAATGTAAAGGATTTCACGCACTATCTTGCTGAAAGTAAAATATTTTCAAAAATTGATTTGGTTAGAGCCTTCCACCAAATTCCTGTAGATCCATAAGATATATAGAAAACAGCTGTTATCACTCCATTTGGATTATATGAATATTTAAAAATGCCTTTTGGCTTGAAAAATGCAGCTTAAAGATGCCAAAGATTTGTGAACCAATTTACACATGATTTTGAATTCTGCTTTCCTTATATTGATGATTTTTTAATTTTTTCACAAAATGAAACACAACATCAACAACACTTAAAAAAATTATTTTCTAGATTTCCAGGACATGGGATTGTCAATAATCCAGAGAAAAGTGAATTTGGTAAAAAGCAATATTATTCCTTGGCTATATGGTCTCTTGTGAAGGTGTTAAACCGTCGGTCCAAAAAGTTGAAGCTATATTAAATTACGATATACCAACGGACCTAAATTCTTTAAGGCGTTTTCTCGGAATGGTAAATTTTTATAGATAGTGGCAGAAATCCAGGATCCACTTAATTATTTCCAGAAAGGTAATCCTGAGAAAAATAAAAAGTTGTTTTGGACAGATAGACAAATTGAATCTTTTAAGCTATTAAAAAAGCCTTTAGCTGAAGCTGCCTTACTACACCACCCTGATAGCTCTTTTGAATTGTCACTTATAGTTGATGCTTCTGATTTTATAATTAGCGCAGTACTTCAGCAGAGAAAGAATGATGAATGGAAACTCTTGGGTTTTTCTCTAAAAAATTATCTCCACCAAAACAAAAATATAGTGTGTATGACAGGGAACTATTGGCCATATATGAAGCTGTCAATTATTTTTAATACTTATTAGAAGGGAGAGAATTTATTATTTTCACGGATCATAAACCCATAACTTTTGCCATTACAAAAAAATCAACTAAATTCACTCCTCGTCAAACAAGATACCTTGATTTTATTAGTCAATTTTCTACTAACATTTAGCATGTTTTGGGTAAATTCATTCCAGTAGCCGATGCTTTATCAAGAATTAATTCTATTGATTTTTCAAATCATTATCAAGAATGGGCTGATTATCAAGCAAAGGATGATGAAATACAGAATATTATTAATGAAAATACTTCTTTAAAATAAGTAAAGCATAAGGCAGCTAATATAGACTGTGAGATATATTGTGACAATTCACAAGCCAACCTGCGTCCCTATGTTCTAATTAAATTTAGAAAAATAATTTTCGATACCATTTATGGTTTGTCACATCCCGGAAAGAAAACAACTACAAAATTAATTAGTGACAGATACGTTTAAAAAGGAATGAAGAAGGATATTTGTGAATGGACAAAATGTTGCATTCCATGTCAAAAGTCAAAAATAACTAGACATGTTGTGAGTGCATCCGGAAATTATTTAAACCCTAATAGACGCTTTGACCATGTTAACATAGATATCGTTGGTCTTTTACCTCCATCTAATGGTTTTAGATATATTTTAACTTGTATAGACAGGTTTACAAGGTGGCCAGAAGCATTTCCACTCGAAGATATTAGAGCAAAAGAAGTTGCAAAAATTTTCTTTAATGGATGGGTAAGCCTATTTGGAATACCACTAAAAATCACAACTGATCAAGGACGTCAATTTGAATCGTTACTATTTCAATAATTTTCAGAAATCTTTGGAATTGAACACATTCACACTACTGCCTATCATCCATGTGCCAACGGAATGGTTGAAAGATTCCATCGTACCCTAAAATCTGCTTTGAAATGTCATGGTCATGATAAATGGACCAAAAAACTTCCTATGTTTCTTTTAGGAATAAGAGCGGCTCTTAAAGAAGACTTGGGTTCATCATTTGCTGAACTAGTATATGGAGCTACTTTAAGAATTTCTGGTGAAAGGCTGTTAGAAATTTTAAATCCAATTAAAAATAAATAAGAATATTTATATAATTTTCGCGAAACAATGGACAAGCTGAAACCTGTTCAAGGATCAAATCACAACCCGAGAATAACCAAACGCCGAGAAGCGACAGCTTTGTCGGAACGTTTGATGTTTGTGGGGTCGATTTTCGGTGACCTTGATGACACCATAATTACACCGCACGCAAGCTGAATTGGCTCGCAGTCGCGCGATCGCGCGGAAATTTGAAATTTACACTGCTCAACTCTAAATATGTTTTTAGTAAGGGAGTAAATCACACAGTAATAACTGAAAGAAATAATTCAAAACAGTCGAAACTACAGTTGTTGCGCTCGGATCAAAATCGCTGGACACCTTCGTATACGGTGTCGCGCTGATCTAGCTGGCCACATGCAAATAGACACCATATTTTCGATCATGCGCCGTCGAAAACCGACCCAGCGGGAAAGGGTCTTTGTCGCTTCTCGGTTATTCTCGGATCACAACAAACATTTTTATTTTTAAGGAACTTTCAAAGTGCTCTCATATTTTTGTTCGGGATGATGCTGTCAAAAAACCTTTGCAGTATTCATATTTAGGACCTTATAAGGTACTAAATAGAAATGACAAGCTTTTTAAAATATTGTATAATAATAAAGAAAAGATCATATCTATAGATAGGGTTAAACCAGTATTTATGGAAAATAAAGATCTGAATAATGTTAAACAAAATAAAAAAGTTACATTTCTTTAGCACTAGGGGGGGAAGTACTGTGGTGAACTATTAGAGCTCCTTAGACTGGTTGTCATGGTTAAGTAGAGACGTTTTGAATTCTGACGTTAGTTTTAGTTTTTGAGTTTTCATAAAATATAATTGATATAAATAAACATTTTCAAAGTTTATCCAGTGTGTTAATGGTGTCATTTAGCTAAAAGGCTAAACTAGTATTTCGTATTTATATTTTTGTAAATAGGTATCTTGATACCTACTCTTTGAGGTTGTGTGACATTTTATTAAAATGCAATACACTTTATGCAATACAGTCATAAATTAAAGGCCAAAAACAATAAAAACGTGATAATATGGTCGCCATGTTGGCTTAGATTTAAAGTTCCTAGTAACTTAAAATTTGGTGCAATTTTTTTTAAGAAAACCTAAATATTAAAGTTTTAATTTAGAAATAAAATCTGCTAATTCTCGTACAAGAATTCTTCATGTAAGTAAGAAAGGAATGCAGTTTGGTATGCTGGTTAAACGAATATGACTCAGGTAATTTCAACACGCCTTTTAATAATAATATTTAAATAAATTTATAATAATCTCACACCGTTCACTTATACTACTGACACTGTACCAATCTTTTTTGCGTGCGACTTTTGAAAACATGTATTTTGTTCATTTATTTATTCATTCAGAACTGTCAGTTGTCACTTGTATAAGCATTGAATTAATAGTTAATGTTTTTTTGTTGTTGCTTTTATTATAAAATACAGTTTTTTTTTTAATTTTAATATCTATTTGTCATAATAGGGTACGTAAAAAAGTATACCTAGTGTTTTTTGAATCAAGGTAATGCTTTAATAATGTTCACGAGGTTGGTAATAATGTTACCTAATAATGTCGTTAATAATAAATTTAGTAATAACGTTAATAATACGGTAATATTAAAAATAATTTATAAAACAATTACCTGATGGACAGCTAAATAAATTTTGTGTTGCATTCTGAAAGAGAAAAAAAAAAAGAAAATTAGTGGAATATAAGAAAAACCAGTCTAGATTGACTTTAAAATTTGTTTTTTTTCGTGGTTAATTAAATTATTAATAATCAAAAAATACACACCTGACTTAGACATTCCCTACATATAGTTAATATGGCGACCAATATGGCCGCCTGTAGACGTATCAGCATCACCCTGAAACAAAAATTTATAATTTTAAAACGGTGTTGACAAATATAAAGTTAATTATACGTCAAGGGCCATATGGTTATCAATTAGATAATTTTGTTATGCATCGGATATACAAGGTGAGTCAAAAAGGAACACAAATATTTTAGGAGGTTATAAAACAATGAAAATTAAGGTCAGTTTGCTACATAAACTAATGTTCGAAGCTCTAAAATAAGGGGGAATGAAAAACCGATTTTTCGGTTTTAACATCCAACCGGAGCAAACTATCAGCACTAAAGGTCTTGGAGAACTTTAGAAAGTTTTATATCATTTGATTTAATGGTGCAAAAAAAATCTGATGTGTCCAACACATGACTTTCCTATCTAGTTATTATAGGCTTTTTCCGGTTATTTTGTACAACCTATTGCAGCATCTCTATAAATGTTTAGAGGATAAACTAAATATATACATTGTCCACATACATCTACCTCGAAACATTTTTCTATAGATATTCATGGAAAACGAAAATACTGAAAAATTTAAATTTCCTACAATTTTTTCATTACGGTCCATTTTATAAAAATCATGTATAAACAAATATTATAGAGATCGATATCGCAAACAACTTTTATTTCAACAATTTTCATAAAAATCAGAATTTTGCACATTTTGTCAAATTTCTCGAATACGGACCATTTCAGGAAATTTTTACATGAAACAAAAATTATAGATAATAATATTAGAAGTAACTTTTATTTGAACAATTTTTTTCTCCAAACATTAATAACAGATATATTCCATAAAATATAAAAGTGGCCTCCCATAAAGTACCCCCCCAGATGTTCCGACTGTGTCCAAAATCTAATCATTTCACGTCAGGCCGAAATAAACCTTAAGTTTAAAATTTAATGTTTTTTTCTTTATCCATTTTTGAGTTTTCTTCAAAATTCGAAATTTACACATTTTCTCAAATATCTCGAATACGGTCCATTTTAGAGAAATTATGTATAGAATAAAAATTAAAGAGAATTATATTACAAACAACTTTTATTTGAACAATTTTTATAAAAAATTATTTTTTTTACATTTTGTCAAATTTCTCGAATACGGATCATTTTAGGAAAATTTTGCATAAAACAAAAATTATAGATAATTATATTAGAAGTAACTTTTATTTAAAGAATTTTCTTCTCCAAACGTAAATAACAGATATATTCTATAAAATATAAAAATGACCACCTATAAAGTACCCCCCCAGATGTTCCGACTCTGCCCAAAATCTAATCAGCTCATTGGACGCTGCAGCAAAGCTTAAGTTTAAAATTTGGTGTTTTTCTGTGTATCGGTTCATGAGTTATGCGTTATACAGACACACACACGCGCGAAAATAGTCAAAACGGATTCAGGGGACCTCAAAACGTAAAAATCCGTCAAAAACTCGAGGTCGAAAAAAATCATGATTCCTATACTTTCCTTATATCTGTATACAGATAGGAAAGTAAAACGAAAAAATATTTTTTGGAGGGGCAGTTTAAGGAGGTGGGTTGGGTATCCCTACCCCTATTTTTTTATATTTTATCTTTTCAGTAAAATTGTTTATGAAAAACAAATTTTCACAGTTTTTCCTAGAAAAAGGCATTCCTGTTTAAATGCCATACCTAAAGTGAACAGTAAATTGACTTTTTCAATACATTGAAAAGATTGTACAAAGTGCAACAAAAATCTTGAGTTTTGATATTAGATACTGTAGAAATTTAAAATCTTTATAGGCCATTTCGTTCGTTTATTTTCAATAATCCGTAGTAAACTCTGGAGTATTGGTATTTTAATCATTTAAAGTACATAAGTTCATTAGAATCTAACCAAATTCTTTTTTCTTTGTTTACTTTATAAAACATGGTCGTTATAATTATAATTTATTGTTAGATGTTTTGTGAGTCTGAGAAAAAGAAGAGAAATAGCAAATTTGATATTTATTTACAAATGAATTAATAATGTTAAAGAATCATTCTTTGCTATCTCAATTTAATTTTCACATCCTACAAATGATCTACGTCTAGGTCAAATATACAGTACAAGATTGAGATGGCAAGTCAGAATTAGATTCGCACTGGCAAATCTAAAAATGAGAGGAGCTATCTCAGTTAATGGCCGAACTTCGATGCTATTGTTTCAGTGATCTATTCGTGTACACTTGTTTAAACTGAGATAACTCCTCCCATTTTTAGATTTGGCAGTACGCAACATAGATAAATTAATACGTAAGATAAACCGTTTAAATTCACACGGCACTGGTAACAAGTTTAGTTCCTCAGCATACTACACGGGGGTTTATATCATATGCACAATACGTAAACACGTTTCTGCGCATGCAACTCCGCGTTTGGGTGCACTAAAGTTCGTTTTACAATAGCAAAATTGTATTAAAATGTAAAGCACTTTGAATAATTTAATAACATCTCGTTCAGTAACACACAAAAAGTGTGGTTTCGAAAATTTTAATTCATATTACAACAAATTAAAAAAAAACGCCTTCACTTAGTTATTTGTACTATGTGAAGATGGCTTTCTGTCCGCTGCATGACTGCTGGCTGCCCGCTACAGCGGGCTCCGCGCGCGCTATTAACAAATAACATCAAAATCAATCAAATGTGTGGTTATGTTATGGTTTTGGTTGTCGACGAAAACATGTGAGTAAAACTACTTTTATTTATTTTAGTTTAGATATAAGTTATTTAAGATTATTTAAAATCAAGTAAAGGTATTTTGATGCTTTAACATGTCTTTACCAGGCAGAATTAATTATAAACGCATAATTTTTAATTGTAATAGTACATTTTATAGGCCCATTTCAAACTTAAATTTTAAGAACAAACATTTTTAAATATCCTTCTGATTTTGATCAAAGAAAGGAAAGGTGCCGTATTTTAAATATTTCACTCATTCCACTTACAACCAATCATTATACATTATGTGAAAATCATATTTTGATACAAAATCGTTTACAAACACAAATCGTTCAAGATTGCTAAAAGATTTGCTTTGCCTTGCTTTAGCACCCTCAAAACCAGATACACCAAAGTACTTAGTAATATTGTTATCACACCACCAAACAGATTACCTGTGAAGATAAGTTCATTTTAATAATATATACAAAATTATTAAATGAAGCAGAATTTGAGTCAGGCCACTAATTATGTTGCAGGGTTTATTAAGAAACTTAATAGTTTTGACTGCAAAGAGTGTAAAGCTAATTTACAGACATGTTAGAAAACCATCGATACTTTTACTTATTTTAAAGAAAATGATGATAAAAGACGTTTGATTTATGTACAAAGAAATGTTATTGAATTTCTTTCAAAAATTCATGAAATTATTTTACCACTTTTGGGTCATATTGACAACATAATTCAGAAAATTAAACTTTTTTGCCAGACCATGTTGATTTTGAATCAGAGGCGACTCGTGGCCTAGTCTACGAGGAGGCTACTTTTGAAAGGCACACCCTATATACTTAATAAAAATATATGTTTCTATTAGAATACAAAAAAAGCAGAAATATTACCTTGTATTCTAATAGAAATATATATTTGTATAAAGTATATAGGGTGTGCCAGCCTCCTTGTAGATTAGGCCACGTGCTGTCTCTGTTTACATGTAAAGAACGTAAAACTTGTCTACCATTAATAATAAGAAATTATTATAATGATAGTATGAGGGCTGCGGCAATGTTTAAAAGACAAACAAAATGATTTGAAGTTACTGCATTTAATTTTTTTCTGTTTCAGTTTATATAGATGGTTGCTTTTGTCTTATTTCCTAAGATTCAAGAAGAATTTGTTGTTTTGTTTTTTATTTTGAAAATTTATTTACTTAGGCATTAGTTTTCATATCAAGTAAATTATTTATTTGTTGTGCAATTTCTGATTTTTTTTAGTCAAAGATAGTTAACGTACCGAAATAGTAATGTAATGTTTGTGATAATAGAGTAACTTTGTTAAAGAGTCATTTGTAAGACGTCCGGGAACGACATAGTAAATAATAAGTATGGGGGTGAAGAGCATGAAAAATAATTTTTTGTATTGCCATCTCTTTGATATATTTTTTATTTATTTTTCTTGGGAATTTTTAGTAAATATAATTATATAAAGCTTTGTATGATATTTATTTTATCCCTCATAATTATTTGTCATAGAATTTTACATTTTTATTGGCATTTCAAAATTGTTACAAACAGCTAATAAAAAAAGCAAAATTTTAATTATAATTAAGAGGAAAATTTACTTAAGCAATTATCTTTTTCTAAACAATACGAAATAGAGCCATAAATATTTTTATTTTTACTTTTTAGTGAATGAAAAATATGTACCTTCAGGTAAAAGTGAAACATCCGTTTTTCTGGAGCCACTATTTCGAAATTTGATTGAATTATTTTCTCATTCTTTGAAATCTTTATAAAAACAAAAATTTTATTTCCATCAAAATTTTATTAAATTTTGAAAAAGTGGCTCCAGAGGAACATATTTTGGCTACACGTACATGTTTTTTATTTCACTAAAAATTAAAAAATTACTACCACATTTTTGGATGGTTATATTTCGTATTAGTTAAAAAATAATTGCCAGAGTAATTTCTCCTTTAAAAAAACCCGCCAATTTTCAATTTAAATATAATATTACGGGTAACTACATTACCGACAGAGTAGGATTAGTTCTACAACTTCCCCACAGGTCGCTGCAAGCAAAAATGTTGACAAATTTCTACAAAGACACGGCAACTCTTAATACTCCTTCCTCCATGGCATACTATTTGGAGCCACCATTACAATATGATGAAAGCGATGTTGCTAGTTTCCATAAACTCAGAGTTATTTCAAACATCTTATTTTGATTTTGTCAAGCTCGATACCATCCATACAGTGGCATACTATTTGCATACTATTGCTGGGATATTTTAAAGAGAGGTTTGATAACAATGTTGACAATCTCGTAAAAATTAAAAACGGAATGGCGGAAGGCGAAAT